CCCCCCCACCCCCCAACTTAACTTTTTTATTGCAGATTCGTGGTCCTCTAGGGTAGCGCAGCACAACCCCGCCTTCAAACAAAAAAATAAATAAATCCTTGCTGTGTTTTTGCTTCGCCCGGTATCACCGGGCGGACCCCCCTGGGCCCAACCGGCCGGGGCCCGCCGGGCCGGGCGGCGGCCCAGCCTAGATAAAAAGTAAAAACAAAGTTACAAAACATTAAATTATCTCACACCCCTTTAGGCCCCTTTAAGCCTATACAAGATAGACACCCTTAGGTCAGACCACCAAATTAAAAGATAAGGCCAGATCTGGGCACATCTTAGTGGTCGCGAAATTGCCCCATTCCCCAAAAAAAGAAAAAAAAAGGAAATCGACCCCTTTTTTGCTGTTGCCCGGGTACCCCACAGGTGGCGTCCCCCCACCTTTTGGGCAGGTTTGCCCGGGTCGCCCATCACCCGGCTCGGCCCTGGTGGCTCTCGTAGCCTAGCTCATTGAAGTTTTTTTTAACTGAGCACCGAAAAGAGACAGAAGCATGCATGCACAAAGAGTGATGTAATGTTTTCTAAGAGTCTATGAGTGCGCCTTCTCCGCGTTCATGCATCTCATGCTGAACTCAGCATCATGGAATAGATGAGCACTCATGGAGGCGGGGGGGGGTGAGAGAGAGATAGAGAGAAGTCAAACAGACAACTCAGCACACTAGCAGAAGCAACCTCAGCCACTCACAATGTCTGCATCGTTCACTAGAATTTCATTTGCACAAAATTACATTCCAATTTTGATATTAACTCTGTCAGTTTCGTTTACATGGGAAAAAAGCCACTCTTGTCTAGGGTGGCCCCTTATTAAGTGAGTAGCCAAATGTTTGGCTGCCTGTTTGGAATACTAGAGAATCAACATCGCAGACAGTCCTCATTTCAGGTAGGGGAACGTGTCTGGGTTAAGTCTAGTGAGCTAGGACAGGAATTCGGAATCTCTCGTAAACTAATGCCTCAGTATTTTGGTCCCTGGGAAGTCCTGGATATAGTGGGAGATGAGATAGATGGTCCCACATATGTCATCCGTGTCCCTGGACACCTACGCACTTACCCTGTCTTTCATGCCTCAAAGCTTGCACCTTTCGCTGAGACAGATCAATTCCCTTCCAGGAGATCGATGCTGCCCCCAACCATGGATGGTCAAGTAGACATCGACAACATTGTGGATCACAAGGACATGCCTGTTCCAAAACCGCTGGGCCGAGGAAGACCTCCCAAGCCCAAGAGAGAGTACCGCGTCATATTCAGGCATCACACGGATCCAAAAGAAGATCGGTGGTTTACCAGAGAGGAACTGATCGAGACAGCTCCTCAGGTGGTGGCAGATTATGAGAGAAAGCTGAAAGGGAAGGCACCTGCGAAGTAAGCATCTCAGCGGACTTTTGAAGCTAAGGGGGATGGAATGTGAGGATTGAGCCCTCAAGGAGGGGCCTTGCCATGATGTACATGTTCTGGGCTAAGGCCCCAGCAAGCCTAGTGGCCGCCCTAAGTGAAGGCGGGCCAGCAATTCAACAAGAGCCCTCTGTCCAAACATTTCACGAAGTGGGGTCCATACAGTTGCAGCACGCCAGTTGGTTGGAGTGCACCGAGTTTCGGATTTCTGCAAATACAGAAATCCCAGGGCCTTTGCAGTTGGTTAGGCCCTGGGCACATAAACGTGAGGCTGACATTGCATACTGGAAATAGAGGCCGAAAATGCCAATGAGAAATCGGTCCACTACCTGAATCTGGACGCAGGCCTGGATGAAAGAGGCACAACTGTACTGCGCCGGGCCCCAACTGCATTGGGCCTGGGTACAGGTACTGGGGCCCAGGCGCAGGCTCAGAGGGAGGCCGCCCACACGCAACACTGGCATATAGGCAGAGAGGGCGAGTGGGCTGGGATCTTGGCCATTGCGAGCAAGGCCGGCACGCTGCTGCGCTGCATGCATGCTGCGGTGTGCTAAGGCTGAGGGAAGCAGGCTAGCACTAGGCGGTAGGGTGCTGCCTGCACACAGGGCGCTGGCGGCCATAGCCGGGCTGCCTGAGGGCGCAGGGGAGGTGAGGGCAAAGGTGGTTCTTCGGAGGTGAAGGGCACTGTGTGGGATAACAAGGGAGAGTGTGGGTGAAGAGAGAGGACGTACCTGGTGGAGAGGAGGTCGGCATTGGAGTTGACATCATCACTCGCTGGTCATCAAGTTGTCTGGTTGCTTCATAGCTGTAGTTGTAGAGATAGGCTGTAGCGTAGGTAGGGCGCCAGGCGCCATTCAAGAGAGAGAGCTACATTGAGTTATGCTGTTGGTGTTTCCCTGTTGGGCTTGGACATTGACTCACGATTCTTCTGTATCGTTCTCAAATGGATGGTTACTCGGTTCCATTGTGCTATCTGCTCTTGCTTTGAGTACTTGGACTTCAGTGTGATTTTGCAATCTGGATTTCTGTGCTTCGTCCATATTCATGTTCCTTGCAATAGTGTGGCATACTGCGTAGCCACACGGGCCCTGCAGGGCCCGTCCCGGACATTCAGCCTAAAAACCTAAAACTTAGGGCTTACAGGCCCCGTTCGTTTCAGCCTGGATGCTGAAAAACGAGGGCCTGCAGGCCCTACCCCGTTTCAGCCTATTTCTGGGTCTTTTCAGACCCAGAGTTTTCAGCCTGAAACGGAGGGCCATTTTCAGGCCCTCATTGTTTCGACCTGCCCCTAAGACTCAGGCACGTAAACAGGGATGCGGAAACAGGCCAGAAATAGCCTGTTCCTCACGAGTTTGAGCAGGAGCTGCAGCTGCAGCCCCTGCCTCCCTTCGGCAGGCTCAGGAGGCACACCCGTAGTACATAGGAAGTCCCATGCACTTCACGGGTAGGTAGTGTCAGTAGGCACGGGTAGTCTTCAGGATTTCGGCCGCAGCACTCAGGAGGAGCGCTGCAGTAGTCTTCAGCGCTAGGCAGTAGGTGTTAGCGCTAGCTGTAGTCTTCGGCACTGGGCGCCATAGCTGTAACTGTAGTCTTCAGCGCTGGGCGCTGGTAGGTGGTAGATCATAGAGTGGGAGAGAGACTGGCGGAGGCCAGTGTTACTTACCTGTGGCGCTATCGCTCCAGCTCCATCTTCGTGGTACCTGCATCAAGGCGCCGACTTCACAGGTTAGTACTGGACACACAGAGAGAGAGAGTTCTTCTTCTTCCTGTTCTAAGTCCACCTTCTCTTCTCACCCTCTCGCCACCTGACTTCTCAGACTACGACAGAGAGAGACAGAGTTGTSACTTGAGACTTGACGACATTGGATCCAGACTTGACATTTGGGATTCAGACATTTCGACGAGGGACTATTTGGGCTTGTGCCGAAGACTTGGTGTTGACGACATTCCCATCTTCCCCCTCCTCTTCGTCTATCCCCTTCCTCCTCG